TCTTATTCACGACCGGTCGAAAAAGGTGAGTGCCTTAATTCCGAACCTTTTCTTTACTGCCCTACTTGGATATGCCTTAATTCTGAAATAAGTCAATGGTTTCGCTACAGACGTGTACTGCGAATACTTTTATCAATTATTGGAATTCCTTTTCAGTTCTCAAACATCCAAACCATTCGTTCATAATTTTTTTTTCTCGTTTTGCACAATTTACGTGACGAATAACAACGCCAAAACTACCGTGATGTTTTAGTTTTCATTCTTGGAAGCTACATCATGGAAAAGTAGAATTTAATCATTTAGATATATTAATTTTAATACAAGTTGTTCGTATTTAAATACGAACACCCTCTACATTTACAACATGGAAGTGATGCTCACTTTCTTCGAGTGCATTTTCTAAAACAAAGGCGTACTTTGCTTACTCTGGTTAGATTGCTTACTCTGGTTAGATTCCAAAATACTTGTCCTGCGTTAATTCATAGTTAGGGGATAGGTGGGGTTCTGCAACTTTTCAGACTACAGTACAAGTTAAAATACTGGGGCGAAGATAAAACTTTCCTTCTGTCATCGCCTTTCCTAATGTTAACAGGAGTAAGCGAAAGCATGACATCCTCCTTTGATAGCAGTGACATTACATCCTAACTGATTCACCATCCACGTGCATGCCGTTACATCTTTCTTGGTGAACTCCCAGTGCGCGGGAAGTCTCCAAAAAGGAGGTTTATTTTGTTCTTTCTGAGTGAGACAGCCTGTAACCTACTCACTCCCTCTTTCGATTGCCAAAATTGAAACGTCGTTTAGCAAAACGCCACTGCCTGTATTCTAATAGGGATGCTACTTCAATGTCGCATCCAAAATGGACACACTTGTCCTCAGAATCTCGCAATCATAGAGCTTGATGTCGGGTTTCCTCGCGTGTTTTCATGATTGAAGGAAATGGAGGAGAGCGCGCAATCGTGTATGACCAGCCTATGCATCAGCTGGCTCAGGGGCATTAATATGAAGAGCGCGACAGGGGCATATGTCCCTACGACCACTGGGGCACTCAAAGGAAAAGGCGTAAATATAGCATAGTTGTAAATTTTTAGCTCAGAATTAAAAAAATTCTGCACTTTTATCAAATTTCTTACTTGCAGTCATCCATTCACCAATAATTAAAGACATTAATCCGAAAGTCAGAAAACCCAAAGAGAGGTCAGGAGCATCATGAGTGCAGAGGAAAAAAAGAAGCAAAAAGGCTACTTTTGTTTTTCAAAGTCTCATACTACAGTATGAGTCAAGAATCTGGAATCAATAGGGGAATGTTGAAGGTGCTCTGTGGCTGTCATTCCTTATGATTCATAGTTTCAACCGGCATAAGCACTAGTCCTTTCTCACTTCCATATCACTGCCAACATAAATAAAAATTATAAGTATAAGCAAATAACTGTTATATTAGCTAAATATGCTATTGATTCCAGACATTTGACTCATTGTACCTATCCTTTATACATATCCTTGACAGAGTATGAGATACCATTTTTGACCTGCTTCAGTTTCCAGGTCATTCGCACGAAAACCTTATTCTCTAGCAGGTGTCTCATTTCCTCTAGCTCGGTTTTTTCAGAAGAGAACGGGAAGATTCCCGACGCCTCAAATCGCGGTAACAGTCATACACCTTTCTCAGAGGCACCTGATGATTCTTTTATTTAGATGGCGGCTTATAAAGAATTGGAGGGAAAGAGGAAAGACACGCGAATAATAGCATCAGGAGGATACACGTACAGGCTCGCAAGCATCCGGAATAACATCTCATACTTGGCATGCAGGGAGAGCTATTGCAGCGCCACCGCAAAGCTGCAAAATGGGCTTCTCATCGGGAAAAGGCCCCACATACACGCCCTCTCCTCAAAATGAACTTGAACTGAAGGCACGAAGCATGATGCGACAGAGGGCATCACATGAAAGCACACGACTTTAGGACATCTACTTGAATCCGTATCCCTTTCTTAGAGTTGCAAATAGACAAAGATCTTGAACATCATATATGGAAACAGAAAAGCGAGTGCTTTCTTAATTCAGAAAATTTTATATTCAATACCGATATTGGATTATTTACCAAATAATGTCGTTGAGGGGGAATGAGTATTTCAATTACTTCAAATAAAGTTGGGGGTGCTTTAATATTCTGTCCTCTTGATGCATTCATTTTTGGTCAACTTGCGTTCTTTTGAGGACGGGAGCTGTCGTTGACTACAGACAGGCCGAAGGAATCATGTCCCGGAGCAGGGTGACAAGCCGTCCGGCAGGTCTTCCTAGAACACCAACTGCATTTGGCGCAGCACTCCAGGGACCATTGGGGAAATAAACGGCTTCTCTCGAAAGCTTTCGCGAAGTCTAAATAGACGATGTCCACGGGATTCCCTTTATCCCTCTCTTCCGTCACCCAGTCGTGGAATTCGAGCAAATCAGTGAGACAATTTCGACGCCTCCTAAAGCCGTGTCGAGAGTCCCGAATGAGCGAGTTTCCTTCGAGGAAATCCGAGAGATGGTCCCTTAGTATACTCTCCATGATCTTCCCTGGGATACGAGGGGTTACACGTTTCCGCGCGGACTTGCAATGATCTGAACACCAGGGATTTTGTTTCAACATTTTTCTCATGTTCAGCGGTTCCCAGAGGCTAGGCAGACACCTTCTCAATGTAATCGCCGCCAATTTGCACACACTTCTCAGCCCTTTTGATCCATGTGTCGAAACAGGCCTTGAAATCCTCAGTTGTGAAACTTTGAAGCTCCCCCAGAACAGCAGCAACAAGCTGATCCCTGGTTTCGAAGTGGCGGCCTCTCAAGGGCTCCTTCAGCTTTGGAAAGAGCCAAAAGTCACAGGGGGCCAGGTCAGGGGAGTAGGGTGGTGGGGTCAAGAATGGTCCCTTAGTATGCTCTCCATGATCTTCCCTGGGATACTCGTGAGACTTACCAGCCTATAATTTCCTGGATTACTCTTTTCGCCCCTCTTAAAGATCGGTACGACGTTTGCTCTGCCGATTTACTGCCGAAGTCCTCCATGTCATCCTAGCCTCCTACAGAACACAGGAGGAAAGATGCTCCCAAAAACGTGAATGGTATGTACTGATGGAAATTTTCACTCCCTTCTTAAGGCGACATGTGAAATGTTCCATCGCATTGCCAAGAATGCAATAGCAATCGTTAATCAAGTGATAGAGGCTTTACGGTTACATCATCTGCCTATGGCGTTGCGAAGTCTTTTTTTTTCCATCCTGACAAGGAAGACATGGTATAAGAGCTGCGGGAGTGTGTGATACCCGAAGGAACACAGAAATTGGGAAAAACATTTGTGCGACTGGTCGTCACGTATCCGTAATTCCATGGATGAACTGACCATGGTGACCGAAGGAGCAGCGCTACCATCAGCGGCTTTTGCTAGCTCTTCCCGAAATCGCTTCCTTCCAGCATCAGTTGACATTGGACCATGTTGGTGGGCCGCTTCCACGAAAATTTTCCCAGTTTTTATGACTGTGGTCTGACAAGTTCTGTGCCAGCGCCTCCAATAAGTCTTTCCATCCACAGTTTTATTATTCGTAAGGAGATAACCCATATCATTACTCTTGTGTCTCTGAGAGTGAGGGCGTGAGGTGTAGTTCATGCGGTATTGATATATTGCAATATGGAAAATCTTGGTCCACAAAAATGTTAGAATTATTGGAAATACTTTAAGTTGAATCAAGAATCGGTAATTTCTATTGACTACTCATTTCATCAGTAGTATAGATTACCAAAAACCAGAAAATCTGTCACATCTCATGATGGGTGCTAGCCAAATTACCAGCGTATGCGTGCTGAATTCCGGCTTAAGTATGAAACTCAATGGGAATGTGAGCCAACTAACGTCCGAGCACTGACCATGGTGACCGAAGGAGCAGCGCTACCATCAGCGGCTTTTGCTAGCTCTTCCCGAAATCGCTTCCTTCCAGCATCAGTTGACATTGGACCATGTTGGTGGGCCGCTTCCACGAAAATTTTCCGTTTTTATGACTGTGGTCTGACAAGTTCTGTGCCAGCACCTCCAATAAGTCTTTCCATCCACAGTTTTATTATTCGTAAGGAGATAACCCATATCATTAATCTTGTGTCTCTGAGAGTGAGGGCGTGAGGTGTAGTTCATGCGGTATTGATATATTGCAAGATGGACAATCTTGGTCCACAAATATGTTAGAATTATTGGAAATACTTTAAGTTGAATCAAGAATCGGTAATTTCTATTGACTACTCATTTCATGAGTAGTATCGATTACCAAAAACCAGAAAATCTGTCACATCTCATGATGGGTGCTAGCCAAATTACCAGCGTATGCGTGCTGAATTCCGGCTTAAGTATGAAACTCAATGGGAATGTGAGCCAACTAACGTCCGAGCTTCCAGCCTGAATTCTCGGAAAGACACTTCTGTTTCGTCGCGCGGAAACCGTCTAACAGATCAGTGTAGCCTTTCACCCTCGGGCTGGCCCCGGCATCCCAGGGGAGGGAGACTCACCAGTGATCTGCACTCCCATCTCTATTCAATGTAAGGGTTGAATTCGCAGAGCTGAATTTCCTACGTGTATGCGCGGGAATATAAGCGTGAGGAGTGATTGACCTTATTTTTCTTTACAAAAAACGGAGGAGAGGGAAGGCCACTTGAAGCTCAAAAAAGCGTTACTCTGGTTGCATTTCTCTCTCAATTTTCGCGCATTTCTTGCACTTTCCTGAAATAAGTTTAGAATCGGCATGGTCAATAATTAGAGTCTCTAAAAACATGGTGTTGGTTTTCAGCAGGTTAGATAAAAGAGGTTAGTTTATTATTCTGTTATATCAAGAAAAAGGCCTTAGAAACTAGCGACAGAAAAAATACACTGCAAACCTTAAGAGTAAAATCAAATTTCTCATTTCATACAATTAATACAAAAGCAAATATTTATATTCACAGATTGGATACTGGACACCTAAAAAGTTGCGTTCACAGTTGTAATCATGTAGGATACCTTCATCGGAATCCGATGGTTAGAGGGACAAAGTCGTCCATACATATTTTATTTTTTATTCGGCTGAAGGAAACATCAATTCCGATTTCATTCCCTGACGCACTGAAACGTTTCAAGATCCAGGGAGAAGCCATCCATGCAATAGCATTTCTTCAGATGGCTGTCGCAATGGAGGTGTAGGTCTGCGTCGCAGTCCTCGTCCCTCGAGCATTCGTCTCCCAGACTCCCGGGGATTCTCTCTGTTAATCATTTCATAGATGAGGGATGCTAGAATCAATCCAAAAAAAGTTTTTCGTTTGCACGGAATACGCGAACACCAAGGTGTTCATTCTGTCATGGCTATACTCTACTGCACTTGGAGGAGGTTACATATCCTCTAGCGATTTGGGGACAAGCACCTCACAAAGAATATTGCTTAAAATTCGAGCTTGCTTTAATTTCCAGTTTCAAGACAGTTTACAAGCGAAAGCCTTGGGGTAGATATACCTCAGCTAAGGATGACGTAATGACAAGATTGTGCATTCGGTGGTAGGTAGGATTCACTTTTGTCATCCTGGTTTTCATTTGCATTGCTTAAATCTTGGAAACCTCATTCCCGAAGATTTTGCATATATATATAGAATATAGGAATTACATTTTATTTTTATCTTGCAAAATGCTTACTGCCTTTCAGCACGTTGAGGCTGTTTATGCCTCGCCTGCCGGAACTGCAGCTATTAAGAAGATTATGGACTCATTTGAATCACAGGATCTTATTAATAATTCATCGTTTTTTATATCATAGCAGAATGAATATATATGATTTTCCAAGAAATACATGCGTATATGAAGCAAAGCATATGCATCTTTAAATTCCACCTCTTTGAAGAAACCGTGTTAGGACATTCTCTGTCCCACAAGTACATCGCAATAAAATGATGTTTCGGCTTAAACCTAGTCTAATAATTCCCTCGATCGTTCCAGTGATGTCATTGAAAGCATGAGAAAACCTAGGGTCTCCCATGCAGTCTAAGAAAGGAACTGGGAACTAAAGTTCCCCCACTTTCATGTTGAACTTGAAATATCTCAAAATCGAGCGACATATAGAGAGAATGCCATGGCTCACCACAGAGGAGGGTGTCAACGTCCAGTTCGTAATCATCGGCGCAGGTGCAAATTCCTGCCTCTTCGTTGCAATGGTAATGGAGGTTTGCGTTGCAATCGGTATGATCGGAGCACGCGTCTCCCAATCCGCCATCCCCAGTCACTGCAAATCGATAACCTCGTGGTGAAGACGTCTCTTCCTCAGGGGGTAATGCCATTTTAGAAAGAATGGGTTAGTGTTCAGCTGAAAATTATATGCTTGATTAGCTGGTGAACACATAATTCGACGCGATATTTTTCTTTTCACCACTTCCCGTAAGAAGACGCGGAGAATGGGACAAATAAATGGTTACCGCACAAGAGAACGGTTGTGTCGAAGAAGTATCCATGGGCACAGTCACATTTCATGAGGCACAAATTGCAGGCTAGATGTGCACTCTTGTCGCAGTCTTCGTCCTTTTCGCAAGGATCTCCTATCCCTCCTTCACAAGGTTCCGGATTTTCATCAGGTACTTAAGTTTAAAAGAAAAGGAAAAAGAAAAAATACATAGGACAGGTCACATCAATGGGAGGATGATGATGCTGGAGATTACAATGACTCAAAAAAAAAAAAAAATCCTGGAAAGTCAGGCTGTTTGGAATCTCCCAAAATGATCAACTGTGAGCACCTGCACCGAAACAATAGTTATCTGGATGAAATTTTACGTAGAACGGCAGAAGTTGAGGTATAGCAAATTATTTTTCACCAGGAGTCATATTCCCTTGTCTATGAAGTCAGAGATATCAAGTTCTGATGTATCTCGTTACTAATGATACAGTACTATGATCTTGAATCTTTGCATGAAAGGGGATAGGAGAAAAATGAACATTGGCACGATTTCAATTAATGATAGCATTAATTCTGAATTAACTCTTGAAAGTATTAACCGGCTTCATTTACTATTGTGTTGTGTCCTGATTACGTCATTCCGTCACTTGCTCTAAATGCTATCGTTTGAATTTGAGAAAACGCTTTTCGCTCAAATATTTTTCAGGAGTCTTACACTGCTTCCAGAAAGGAAGACCTACCAACGTGTTAGACCTGCAGAATGCAGGTCAGGGTCTCAATTCCTGAAAGATGAGTGATGACAAGAAAACGCATCCGTGAATCGCAATGCTCAATCTCCGCCACTCACCGCATTCTCCCCCATCTCCCACGAAACCATTGTCGCACTGGCAAATCCCATCATAGCAATCCGAGTTCGGGGTGTCACATCCTAACCCAGACAAACAGGATTCCCCTAGGTTTGGTAGCCCTTGGAAGGAAAGAAAAGTTAAAAACAAGCAGATAGGCAAGCCCAATTCAGACCTGAGACCTCTTTTAACTAAGAACAGTGATTTGCCAATATATCGCCACCCTCGCTCATCGCCATCTGCCAACTACATCTCATTTACAGACATGCAGTACATTTTCTCCTCTCGAAGTCATCATCGATATTGCGCTTAGTATCGTATGTGCTACAACAATTATCTAGTACTAAGCACAACTAAATACATTATGATTTTTAGAACATCTGACGCTTTGAAATTGATATCGTTCATTTATGTATTTACATACTAACATTAAATTCGAATAGTGCCTCCTCTACATTAGGGAATATCATGACCTTGCCTGATCTGAACTCCTGGGACTTCTTTCTATGGGGTTTTCTAAAGGAGAGTCTTTGAACGCAACAGAACTCAAAACTGCAATTTAAAAAGAAACAGATTTCAACAGATACTCCCAAAGTTCTGCAAAATTTTGTTCTTCGTTTGCGAAAATTCAAGAGCTGCGAGGACGTTACATAGAGCATGTTCTACACTGGGAAGCTCATTTCCCAAGTATAGAGAAGCTATTGTTCAAATTGCATGGTTATAAATAAATATATTTATCAATTTCAAAGTGTCAGACTTTTTAAAAATCACACTGTATTGGCTGCCACCGTTAGAGGAAAAGAGAAAACTTAATCGAGAGAGAGCCGTGCATAAAACAAGTGTAGAATATTGGAGGGGACTAAGTAAAGCAATATAGCTTCACATCAATTTGGTCCATTTTTATTTCAGGACTTTCGATATTGAAGCACACCGTGGTTCATGCAATAAAACCACCCACGTTAAGGCGCCAAAATCAGCGACGAATAACTGTTGCGATATTGAGGGTTCACCGTACTTTCCCATTTTGAACATCGACTACCACTATCCAACTCTCGTCCATGTGTTTTCTATATCCTTTGTGAATTCCCAGGTGTCTAATCATACTTCCAGCGAATTCTGCTTTTAGTTACTAGTAGTTAATTTTTAAGTTTCAGTGTTAGCAAGAGAAGAATGAAGGACAACAATACAAAGCACCTAGCAGCCAGAGAGAAGCGAGGAGAATATGACGTGTAAGGTTACATAGGTGTTTGCCGTTGTCTGTAACCTAACAGCGTGTTGGCTGGCTTGAAAGCCCTTTTCCAAGCTAGGTAGCTGAGACATTCATTTCATAATTGTAAATCGAAGGTCAGCCATTTGTAACCTTTCTGTCAATTGTAGTGGAGTTCATTTATTTCACTTTAACTTGCATATTGTATTTCAGACTGTGCTCGTCAAACCGTGCGTAATATCATGGAGCTTTTCGAGTCCAAGACAATCACGGAATAATTTAAATGCAATGATTATTGTTATTGATGCATTCAAATGAAGAAAGTAATCTTCGGACGGATTGAAATATCCCGTAAAAGTGCTGGCAACAATTTTTTCTACGTAGTACGTTAACACTCGTTAGCTGAGTAGTGGAACTGTTCTAAAAATAAACTATTAACGGTAAAACCAGTATTGACATAATATTAATGATTCATTATTCCAAAAGTTGTGGTTCGGCATCTGTACTTTCAGGCCATGGAAAAATACATTCTGCGACACAGCATTTGTGTTTTTTCCTATTTTCTTTCCGACCTATCCAATAGCAAAATCGCGTTTTTTCACAAGTAACTTAGTGAGAAATTAATCATAGTTATTGTCCTAGGACTTCATTAAACACTACGATGTTGGTGTAGACACTTTCACCTCTTTGGTCGTTAGTCCGCTGACTATTTAAGACCATGAATTTGAAGCCTCTTCTCTCCTAGACGTGAGTTGGCCACAGAACAGCTTTCCATGTTAAGAAGACAGGACACGGCAAAACACCCCTACTTTCTCGAAGGTCTGCCCTGCGCTTCGTTAATCGTCATGGCAAAGGCAGCGCGGATGGGACACTGACACCGAATAAAGACGAAGGGCAACTGCGTATCAGATGATACCAAGGGAATGCGGGGTATGAGAACACTGCAATCTACGTTCATTCCGATGAAACTCTCGGCTTGTACGACATGGGGATGCAAGGCCGTTAGGACAAGCCGATTGCCATTCGCCAAACCTAAGGCTAAGTTTAGGTTGCAGAGGACGATAATGGGCATGCTGGCTATCAACTGAAGCGCATGGCTGGGAATGGCTTGAAGCTATATGGAATGTAGGAATTTGGGTGGGTATGTTGCTGCATCCTCAGTGCCCTCCATATAGTCTGCACTCGGGTAGACGCGTTCCTGACTTGGGAAACGTGCTCTGATCATGTCGTTTATAATATTAAACATGGTCATCGATTAAGCCGAGCAACGTCGAGGTCTTCAAAAATCTCTTGAATGAGTTCAAACGGATTTTGGGAAGGTACCCCCATCTGCAATGCGCATCTGACTTTCAAATTTCCCTTCACAACATCCAGGAGGTAGTTAGCCCAAGCTTGTGCAGGTAACTCTCGTGCAAGGCCCTTCCCAAGGCGTGCAAGGGCTGCACTCGCATGTTGATGATCATAGGGAACACGGTGATTTCCCTTTATATGTAGGAGCGCTTTAGAGTAGCATTCAGCCCGAATGCCACGCGGCACAACAGCAACACTTGAATGAAGTTTTTGTTTACACATGCGGCCACTTTTCTTCAAAATAGTCGCTGCTCTAAGGTTGGTTCCACTAACTTCATGATGTCTCAAAAGGACCAATCCTGGGCTTCATAACAGTGTTCTTGAGCCATGGGTGCTTCGTCCCAAGCAATGAGTCTCGTTTGTTAAATTAATTTTGTGTCATTGCTTTGTAGGCTCATATTACATGTGGACTGAGAGTTGCTTTTAATTAGAATCTTGAAGCAGGAGTGAGCTGTCATCCCACCATCCAACAGCAATACTGCGATATCTGAGGTGATTACAGCCAAATATATCTTACCACGTGCACGGGTTGCTGCAAGGAGATTAATGAACTTTTTCCGCATCCCCCGGAACTGTCAATGTAGAACGTATTAGTATCCAAGTCCTTCCATGACAGCATGAAACACCCCACGTTGATCAGAATTCATCATTGGCATCTCGCACTCCATAGGTTGTACCAGTGATTCGCTGTTTTAATTTGGCTGCTCTTGGAAGACCAGTGGCAAAGCGCTTGCTGCTAAGGGCGCCTCTGGCAGAACGCGCATACCGGGGAAGTAATTCAGGATTTTTCCATGTACCCGAATAGGTCTTCAACGTGCAGCAGAGCTTGGTCCTCCGTTTCTTGTGAGTTGCATTGTAGGATCAACTGCAGCCTGACAGGCATTGTGAACGATGACTTCGGTCAGCATAACGCAAGCATAACGCAATTGAGTTCCTAGGAGTTCCGAAAAGTAACAGTGCGAAGAAGAGCTGGCGAAGCCGCATAGCAGCCGCTTCTGATATTCAGTTGTCCCACATTTTGTCAAGTTGCAGGAGGCCACCGCGAATTGCGATTTCTTCAGATTTGGCGCATACCTCGCCATTGATAATGCGGAGGCAATCATACGACGTCACTCCTTGAATATATGCGGCCAATTGATAGATTCCTGGTGCCTGACCCAGACTTCGCCGCGGTTTTCACTCCTTGGGATGCTTGTTCCATGTATAAAGAGTAGAGGTAATAGGATACAGCAGTTGACGTGCAGCAGGGTCTCTTCCGTTCAACTCAAACCATTCTGGTATAGCCGTGCGATGCTGTCTGCCGGCCACTACTGCATCATCACCCTCTCGGAAGACTACGGCCTACTAATCAGGCATATGTATGCATATACACAGATGGTGCCTGTTGGCGAAGGGGCAACTCATAGATGCGCCACATGGCTTCACAGGAGAATATCTACCGACCTTCCACGAATTGTGCGATCCCATCCACCTTCTGAGTCTCGTTCGTTCTGAAAGTGGAAAACCACCCCCAAACCAGACCCACTTCCAACATCCATGATATGGCAGTCACATCATGACTCGTGAGGGAGTGTAAGGTAATACGGAACGGCGGGTAAATCCAGACAGCGCAAAATAACTAATTTGGAATGTGCATGACAAGCAGTCACTTGTGTCACTTAATCAACAAGTGTGAAAACCTATTGTGACAGTTTCCGTGACTTGAACAACTTTCCGAGAAAAGCAATATCTTCATTTTCATCTCGATTGATGTAAAGAACTGCTCAAGGGGCGTGGCCTCCCTTGGCGTTCCATAAGATCTGACTGATACGAACGAAATCGCACGGAACATAGGATTTAGTATTCTTTCGAAAAGTGGCAGAACCCACAATATTCGTTCGTTCGTTCGTGAGAGCGGGCTCCCGACGTCGGTGCTGTATAATATATTACGAGTATATCAAAGTTTTTATAGCATAGCCTGTAGACCCGGCGTGATAGGCATGGCATGGCCTCGCATGTCTTTTGTGTGCTGATGTCGGAGGGAGTGGAAATCAGTGAGCGTCGTACTTCTCCTAAAAACCTCTGCAGTAGAGTGCCACGACTCAGCCAATGAACGTCTGCGCGGTATGGATGGCGAAGAACTGTCGGAATTGACGGTGTTTCAGACCCGCAGATGAGCGAAGGTAGTTCACAGTGCGAATCATGAAATTCATAACTTCACCCAGTTCCAACTATTGGCAATTCACCTCTTGGTGAATTATGCAGTGGAGAGTGATGAGAATTGCAATGCTGCTCCACTTTTCTTGTCATAAGACCAGCGAGTTCAGTGTGACAGCCACTCATTGCTGGCGCACAATCTGTAGTACGTCCTGTCAGTTTTTCCCAGAGTAGCAGATCACCTTCCAGGCATTTGGAGACTTTTTCAAATAAATATATATTTTTTGAAGGTGTTGGATTTTCTCAGAATAAACTTTTTCCTTCAGGTCGCCCCAGAAAGCAAAATCGAGAGGATTCAAATCAGTGATCTGGGAGCCCACTCCACCAGCCCTCCCTATCCATCGGTTGGGAAATGTGTCATCCAGCCAGCCACGCACTGGCAGTGCGTAATGAGGGGGGCGCCGTCCTGCATAAACCATTCTGGTGGTCCGACAATTTCATCCAACTGTGGTATCATCTGATCCCCTAACATGTTCAGGTAATTCTCGCCAGTCGATGTTTCGGTTTCGGAAAATCGGTTACGATTTTCGACGTCTCCTTTTTGATAAAAAAGGCGAATGAAACGGACCATAACTAAGGCTCAAAGACGTTGCCAGGGAGTGTGAGAACGGCAGTCATGAGCCCAATTATGACTAATTGAGCACATTTTTTTATTTATTTGACCAACTTACTTCTCCTCTTCCAAACCATTCGTTTGACAGAAAATCTGACTAAGGCTGTTGGTAGTTGAGCTGTAACTGAAAAAATATTCGTACTTTGGTAGAAGGCTGCTAGTTTCTTATGCAGTACCAAGCGACATTGATACGGTATCCTCTGTCTTGCATATCCAAATTTAACCTTTTAGAAAATACTAACCTTCATGTGCAAATTGAACTAAGTCAGGATTCACACCTGATGATTTTAAACATTGTTCTAATTTTTTTGTTACTATTTGACTGATGACATTAAATTCTCTCGTGGACAGCCCTTAACACAACATTTTCTATCCTAAAGGAAAGTGAGAGGAGTCCAAGACTTGATACTAGTTCAAGGCACTTACTACAGATTTCTCCATCTTGATAAAATCCACTCTTGCATTGGCAATGGAAACCGTCACCATTGGATATGCACTCAGAATGCTCCACTGTGCAGGTTGTTATGTCATCCATGCCGGTGCATGGATCCCCAAGTCCGCTTCTGCTTCCTACAGATAAAACACGTACACATTTTAATCAATGAGGTATACGCTTGTTGGGGCGCCTAGAATGAATGTTGGTTTCCAATACTGGAG